ATATGTTTTGGGCAAATACACTGAACTACTGAAGAGAAATCCAACAAGGCGCATTGCACAAATCGCGCAGTTTAATAGGGTTGACAACTAGTCTCCGAAGCATCACGAATAATGCAATACCCTTGTATATTTCAAGGATTGCTTTAGCTGGAAAAAACATTCGGGAAGATATCATCACACGAAAATACAAATAAACTGTTTCGTGTCTTGTTTAAAATAAGCAGTAAAATTACAACTGCTTTGAAGCAAGTTGGTCAGCGACCTTTGAAAGCACCCTCAAAGGTCTTTGAAATGAATTAAAGCCTAGCTAGGGAGGTGAAGCCCTAAAGGAAACTGCCTTTTTAATTACCATTCGTCCCTCTGCTGGATTGACACCGTAATCGTTAAGTTTACGGGTATTACGTGTAAAAGGGGATTTTATAGAAAACCCCCTCACTGCATTAAGTAAATAGATGGATAGGTTTGTTCAGTTTTACACTCTTGCTCCCATCATACAGTCTCTTTGTCAGAAACATCCATGAAGCCAATTAATATAAAAGATAAAAGATCAATCACATGCAACGTGATACCAATTAAGAACCAGTCCCAAACCAATTACACCGCATTGAGCCAATACAGCATGGTTTTAATTGTGTGGAGCAAGCCAAACTGTGCTTCATATTAGCGTTTGAATAAATCAAGTCATAATTAAACTGAAACTCATTTGTGACATACTACGAATGCCAGGTCTTTAGACCTAGTGCAAAGTAAGTATATAAGCAATCCATTGCTGTAACAGCAATTACTTCACTATCACCATTATGAATTAAGTGCACATTCTATCATTGCACCTATTTTGTTATTATTCCAAATGTCATTGCTATGTTACAAATATTTTTGTTAGCTGTAGATTTTGTTTTTCTTAAAGAGAACATACATTAACGAGCCAAACAAATATGTCCGTACACCCTTCACAATTTAATTGTGTACCTCAGAGTTACATAGACAAAATATGCCCAGCCATTATATATTCTAGATCAGTAGTAGGCCTACTTGTAATAAATATAACAACGAAATATGAAAAAACCGACTAGACCTTTTCTTAATCAAATGAGAAAAAGTTAATTCCTATAATGCATCCTTAGTGTGGCTTGGTAACGATCAGCAATCAATATTGATATGTACTCCATTTTGACCAAATAACTTAATTATTTATTATATGGAAATGTAAATAAGTGGAAAGAGGAAGATATCGTATGTTGGCAAAGTTAACTGCTAACACCAGGTCCTAGGTAGTATTCATATTGGAGAGAATTTATGAATTGAAGTGTATAAACCAGATAGAGACTCTTGAACAGAAGCCAGCGAGAGGTGTCCTGAGGAAAGAGAGTGTTGGGGCATAAATAATTACCTACCTCTACTACACTGTTTAGTAAATCCCACAGGACTGCAAGTTAATTAGGCTGATCTCGAATCATACTCCTAATTAATGCACTTATATTTTTATCGTGCTGTTTTTTATAACTTAATCCCGATAATAACTTGTTGTGTCTACAACCTGTCTATTTTAATTTTATTTACCATCCAATTTTAATATATTTTGTGGCCAAAACCCACGATTCTGTTGATTTCCTACTATTTTCATCTTACGTACAAATAGCCACATTTAACAACTTTATCTTATGAACTTTTACAAAGTTTTAAAGAAATTGTATAAAGTGATATATCATAATGTAATTTTTATTCACAATTATAACTAGTGAATGTAACATTATTTTAACAGGTACCATCCATAGTATAACACAGAAGTAATAATTCAGATGGCACACATCACCTGCACTGGCTGGCAAGAGTGGTAATTTGTTTGTGATATAATTATTTATCAGAATGTATGACCCACTAGAGACTAGTCTGTTACAAATATATTTCCTCATTTCATATTCCCCAAGGTACAATATTTCGGTTTGGATTTATAAAAAAGCTGATTGTAAGAGAAATGTTTATTTAATCGATACTTTTTAAATATTAAGAAAACAATTTCAATTCTTACATGTAATGTTGACCTGTGTTTATAAAATTGTCTATATAATTAATTCTAGTAATAGATAAATAATAAATCTGGGGTTTATGAGAACAGTGATTTAATGTTCTACATACGCCTACTAAGAGAACATGATTTTCAGAAAAATATAAATTTACTAAACATTTCATTAAACTCCAGGTGAATGGTTTAGGGGAATTAAGCTTTCGTGTGGGTAGAAAAATATGTCCGCCTATTATTAAATTTTCTTTTACTTTTGCATCCAAGTAGATTAATTACGAAATCCTAAATTATCCCGCTCTGTTCAATCAGTAATTGCATTGTTCAATTGTTCAAAAGTTTAATCAGTAGTAACAGTTATGGATAAAAAGTTTCGTTCTCAAACAAAAACAAAAAGTTCTAATTTCGATATCAACTGAGAGTTTTTTTTTTTTTTTTTGTTTTTTTACTGATCATTGTTATGCACTACCTACCTATTTTATGAATTTAAATTTAATTTAAAAACTGCTTCCTTATACCTCCTATGTACAAATTATAAGAGCGCTTTTTAAAGGTATTTTACATTTTAAAGATATTAATGTACACAAATTATTATACAACATATATACAAATTGCACGAAAATCACAAATCAGCAATAATAAACAAATATTTTTTTTATTCTTACATAATGGACTCCTAAATTCCATCAAATGTAGGGCCTATATACATACAGTACTTACAACAAAACATATTTTACATAAATGCACTTTAACATTATTTTATATTCATAAGAACACTGTGGGTTATATTTCTCATGAAATCATAATACGAGAATTTATCACAATTTTGTCTTTTGTCAACATTATGATGAGAGGAACAAAGATAGATTCACGATCATGTATTGTAAACTTAAAATAACTGTACAGTATTTCATATATGGAGTTTTACATTCTCTTTTTGTAAGCGCAGAAAAATGTATTTTATCAAAATAATGTAAAAGTAATAATGGTTTATATCATATTTTCAGAGGCTGGTCATTCAGGCTGGCTTTCACTCTTAAACAATTAAAGATTATTTTGATAATAACTAAAAGTAAAGGTAATAAAATGAGCATAGGAACATGGGCTGACTTACGTATGAAAAAAAAATATAAAATAAGATTTAAGCTTCCAAAAAAATTTAGTCTTTCTTTCTTAAGAAATAAGGCTTTGGAAGAATCTTTTGTTGAAGAATAATATAACTCCTTGCAGGCAATTATCTAAGCTGTGCAGAAACAAGCTTCCTACATGTGTCATATTAGTGAGTCCGTTGTACTCACTTGTCTATGGAATATGGATTTGGAGAAGCCCGCTTATAACTATTTCGGCATTTTTTTTTACTTGGCAGCCGTGTCTTACCTGAATTTGAATTCTATTATAAAATCTGACACATGCAACATTTCAGTACTTTGTCAAGCCTGCATCTAGGCACATGTAAATTGCCACAGAAGTTCTAGTGGAATAGTTGTGTGCAAATCTGAGTTGTGAATATAAACATAATGCTCATTTCATTTAATCGTCACAAGACATTTTATACAGTCAAGATCTGACAAGCTTTTTAAATAGAGGGCCTGCAGTGGCAAGATGATGAGATCCACACAGCAAGCACCCTCCAGCACCCCACTCGCTTTTGCAACATAAACTTTATATACCCTTGGTGAGTGGCCCCACAGTCTATAGTCACGGCCGCCTTTAACTCCAGGCCGCGGCCTTCGAACTGGCAACGTCGCAAGTGGTGTTGTAACAGCTGTTTTTGTTTGGAAGCAGCTAATGGTATTTGTGTATTTACGAAAGATTGGTTACTTGACTATGACAATTTTGACTCCGCTTAAAAATGTACAGATAGCCTATAAATTTTAATTTATATTGTTTCGGTTTTCAATTCTGTATGTATTATTTTCAATATTTTAATAAATTTATGTTCATAAATTTAAATTTAAATCAATAAGGTGCGAATTAATTAACTGATGTCACCTGTCTGCCATGTTATCTTATAGGACGTCTGTCACTGAACAACACCACTTGCGACGTTGCCAATTCTACCAGGCCGTGGCCTGTAGTTAAAGGCGGCCGTGCTATAGTGCCAAGGGTATATATGTAATCAAATGTCCGTTAGCACGACAACTCAAGCAAAAATGATGCAATTTTTATTAAATCTGCTACAAACGTGTAAGGTAAACCTAGGTTTATTCGAATGAGTTTGCTAACCAGCGTTATCGGACTATGGGAACAGGGATTTTATGGGGGATATAAGGTTTTCCCATTATCAACACTGAAACAAAAAATGACATTTTCTCCAAACCATTTTGTTGAGCTTAAAACAAATAGTTTTGTATACTGGAGTGTTGTATGCCTAGTGGTTACGGAGACAGTTTTTTTATGTATAAAAATTCCCATGTTATTCTTATGGAAAATAAATAAATAAACTTGTGTGGTTTGCTTGTTTATGGATACAGTATTTTAATCAAATTTGACAATTTTGATTATTTAATACTAAGCTAGTAACATAAAAAAAATACACCACATTACCTTCCCTGTAGCAGCAACCCTAAGTATACTCTGTTATTAATGTTCTTTGTACTGTGTACTATCTTACCTATATATTAATAATAATTAATGTTATTAAAAAGGAAATTAATCTAATAATTTTAAGGGAATATTTGAGTAGAAATCCAGTCAGGTGAATGGAAATTCGCTTAGTTGCAGGTTTGCTGTGGCCGGGGTAGTGGATAATTGCGGTATAAAATCCTAATCAGAAAATTGCAACTGTATAGCTTTTGGATCGCAATGGTTATTTTATTTGCCTTTATTATCAAGTGTTTCTCCATGGACTGTCTTACCCTAGAGTGATTCGCGGGTTTCAGTTGGTCAGCACCGCTCCCCCCGAAAAAAGCAAGCAAGCAAGAAGTGAAGTGGCGACAATTTGTTGTGTCCTCTTGTGTCGGTTTCGGTTGTCGGCTTTCGTAGTTTCTTGTGAAAGGTTTTCTCGGTTGTTGTGTGACGAATATTTATATCATAATGCCTCCTAAAAGGCGTGATAAGGAAAGCGATTCCTCTAAAAATTCCAGGGCAGACCTCGTGCAAGCTGATCATGAGTTATTTCTTCAGGCGTTCGAAAGTGAGTTGATAACACCATTGTTTTGGTTTGTTTCCATCATAGGCTAGGGGTTTCATTTTTTCCATTACATTAAGCTAAGCTATAAAATAGATACTAAACTTACGGGCTTGCAATTTATTCAATTTCTTCCTACTACCGTACAGTTCATGTATTGCAATATTTGTAAGGATTGATTAAAATGCCATAGGTTTTAAAATTACCTATCTAGCCTAAACTGTATTTAGGTAGTATCCTAAGTGAAGTCTACTCAGTTGAGAATGTAACTCATAGGCTAGGCCTAGTCTAGGTACTTTTATGTAGGCCTAACCTATATAAATTCATAAATTACGACCACAGAAGATTTTGCCTTAAAAATACCGTGAGGTTAGGCCTAAATAAATGCAAAACTAAGTTTACGTCCAGTCATAGACAAATAGAATAAATTATATAGACTCAAAGGAGTTCCGGCGCCCATCGCTAGGTGTGCCATATAGTTACGGCGCACACCGCTGCAGGCGAGGAGCGCAGGAGCCGTATGTGACCAGCAGACGCTGCAGCGGTGTGTGCCATAACTACACGGCAAACCTAGGCCTAGTGGTGGACTCCAGAACTTATGCTAACCGCAGCACAGCTGACGGTCTATATTTATTCCATTTGTCTATGGTCTAGATCACCACTGTAGGCTATTGTTTTTATCCATCACTCTCAAAGAAAAGTTCTACTAGGCCTAGATTCATGTTTGAATCAGTTGAGATTTTCCGAAAAATGTTGTAAGGAATAACATTTACATCTGCTCCAGTGTCAAGTTTGAAAGAAATTTATATTCCAATTACAATAAGCTTTTGAGTCCAAGAATTCACGGAATCTACACTAACAATTGTTTCTATAGGCTACTAATCAAATTTCCTTCAGAGGCTTTAAAATTTTCTTCATATTCTACAGAATTTAACCTTGCTTCTTTGCAAGCTTTTGAAAAGTGGTTTAATTTGTTACAGTTGGTACACCTTTTCCCCCAAGCTGGACAGTTTATATAGCCTAACTATGGCTAGTCTTACACCTAAAACAGGTCTTCTTAATTTCATTTTTAGCAGGCCTGAAATCATTATTCTTAGCTATCTTATGAATTTCAGGACTAGGATGATCGTGATGGTTTTAAATATAAAGGTTACTTACAGTCTTCGCAATCCTGTTAGTTGAGCACTACGGCCGTTTCGGAGATAACTCCATCGTCGGGTGCGTAGTCATTATACACTAATCTGAGCTATTTACATATTTACATTTCTTACGTGGTTTCTTCATTTTCATTGCGTCAAAGTTAAATAAATAGTACATACAACACAAAACACGGACACGACACGAAAACATTAAGGCACGTGCACGGCTAAAAACTGACGACCGACTGAACGAACTTAATCACTGCAAAGGTTTGGTGGACGACTGGAACAGCTGATAACACGTGTACCAACATAGCTGCTCAAATTATACCTTGTCCTGTTTGATTTGTATTATTTTCTCTAAAATTGGATTGGCTGCTGAATTAGTCTGGGAATTAATTATTAAGTTCGGTTCTTTAGCTGTACTGGTGTAAATGTAATTTTTAGCCGTGCACGTGCCTTAATGTTTTCGTGTCGTGTCCGTGTTTTGTGTTGTATGTACTATTTATTTAACTTTGACGCAATGAAAATGAAGAAACCACGTAAGAAATGTAAATATGTAAATAGCTCAGATTAGTGTATAATGACTACGCACCCGACGATGGAGTTATCTCCGAAACGGCCGTAGTGCTCAACTAACAGGATTGCGAAGACTGTAAGTAACCTTTATATTTATTACACGCAATCTGCCACACTGATTAATCGTGATGGTTTTGATCAGAACAACTTTCTCCCATGTTTTTAACTTGTTTTTGACTCTCTTCCCTAGCCTTACAATAGTGAATAGCTGTATCAAGCTTTAAATCAGATTCCATTAGCAGCCTTTCTTTAGTCATCACATCTTTGGTTCCAATAATAAGCAAATCCCACACTTAACTATCCTCTTGTTCACTGAACTGACATTTTCTTGCCTGAGTTTTCAGGTGGGTTACAAATGTGTCAATTGGCTCCTCTGGTCTTTGTCTCATATTGAAAAACGCATATCTGTTTACAACAGTGTTGACTTTTGGCTTAAAGTAGTCATCAAAAGATTGAACAACATTATCTAAATTATCCCTATCTGTATCTTCTAGTTTGAAGTTATTAAAAATGTCCAAACAATCATTCCCCATTAAACAAAGGAGTAAGGCAACTTTAGTTTTACCGGGCTTTTTAGATTTCTCAGTAGCTTCTAAATACAAAAAGAACTTTTGCTTGAATCTAGCCCATTCATCAAAAGTGTTCTTGTTCAAATCTATAGGTAGTGGGGCTTTCAATGTGTTGTTCTAGGATTAAATAATTAGCTGTATGGTTTTATTTTACCTTAATATTTTGACCGCTGCCACCAGTAATAAAGTTGTATCACACAAAATAGTTTTCTAATAAAGTCCATTATATTTTCAAGAAATTCAACTAATGTAAACACAAACCATAACCAACAATACTAATAATTAATACACAACAGCTGTTAAATGTCACACTATATACCATATCAGACGTATTTTTTACATTATTTATTGGCATGTACACATATTTGGTACTAGCAGAGTACCCGTCCTTCGTACGGGGTTGGAATATAAGTATAAAATGCTAATTGCAGTTATACTCAAGCTTTGCGTTTGCAATAAGGGAGGACACAGTTTGATAAAATTTGCTTTTGTAAATTTACAGTATTCTATAGGCTAGTATTACACATCTACCATAGCCATAATGTACTACCACTTCACCTAAACAATAGAGAAAAAAAATTATCAACAATTCGCAAAATATCACAAATTATTCATGAAATGAAAAACATAAACATAACTAAGTAAACAATCCTACTTTGACAGTTCTCATTGCCAATCACAGTTTTTTGTTGCTGCTAAGTTCAAATTAGCTGTTTTTATAAATGCAAAAAAAAATATAGTGCTGCACCCTGTTGGTAAATCTTATAACTTTTTAATGCTTTTTCATATCATAGAACCAACTTTTTTAGTTGAAACAGCTGACTAAATTCTTTAATTCCCTTTGCATATGAATACTCGTAAGGTTAACATGGGGAATTTCAGAGCCACTGGGGCGGAGCCCGAAAGGATTTTTGAGATAAGAATATGCCTATACCTATGTTAATCGGGATTGTAAGCTATCATCATGCCAAATTTCAGCCCAATCCGCCCAGTGGTTTATGCGTGATTGAACTTCAAACAAACAAACAAACACACAAACTTTCACATTTATAATATTAGTAGGTATATAATATTTGGTATAAGTTATTCTGGCAATTATTCCAAACAACCAAACATCAGGGTTTACTGTAATGTAAATAAACTGACTTGAATTTTGTTTTACAGAACCTACTCAGATATACAGATTCTTACGATCTCGCAATGTACTAAGCGTAAGTATTTTGTGTTCTGCAAAACTCAATATTCAATATCTAAATTCAAAATAAGATTCTGATATTCTGATATCTTAATCTCTAATAAGATATATAGAAAAGGGCCTGAATTGAAGATCTGAATGAATTACAAATGGGACTAAACATTCTTGTTACCGTACTATACATTCTGCAGATGTAGTTTATTAATTTGAAAGTAGCTGACCATTACTTTTTTAGTATTTAGTCAGACACATATTTGTTTTTATTTAGACATTTTTTATGTTGAGGTACGTCATCAGACCCAGGGGCCCTGTTATCATGTTTATTATTACAAAAAAATAAAATGACTACAAAAACTATATATTTATTGGCCACTGGTTTGGGTAAGTTGATTTTATTAATTTAAGTCACTAAGCTTTCATGGCCTAACTAAAACTTAGTTCAAAGCTTTTGAGATTATTGCTTTGTACCTGATGGTTTTAACCCTCCGTCGGTCATACCTAAATAATTACCAGAAGGGTCGCACTGTACAGTTGATACACAGTAAAATTTGCGTATCGTTTTCATCTTTGCAATGATTGATTTGTCTGTTATAATATTTTTATGAACATTCTATGACAAATTACGTTGTATTTGGAATATTATAATTGAAGATCTTATTTAAACTCCTTGCCATCAAACATTTTTTGCATGACAATGTTTTTTTTATGTACTGTATCAAATTGATAACTTTTTTTTATTTGCCCTGGGCAAGGTCAGCACTGGCTGGTTTGGGATAGTTAAGGGGTCCCCATTAATGAGGGGATAGCTATTGGTGCGCGCACCAAACGGAAATGGTCGCACTGTCTCATTTTGACACATAAATAACAGATTTTAAGTTAATTAACTTTTAAATAACTTAATATGGATAAATGCTTGGAAATAATTATACCTAAACTGATTTTTTTATTTTTATTTATTTTTTATTATTATTTCCTTGTCTTGTCACTGAATCAAAATAATACAAAGATACAAATAATGATAATTCACACTGTATCAAATCGATATAATTTTTATAATGTGCCATGGGAAAGGTCAGCACTGGCTGGTTTGGGATAAATAAGGGGGTCCACATTAGTGAGGGGATAGCAAACGGTGCGCGCACGAAAAAATGACGGCCAAAAAGGTTGTTGCTTGAATCAAAATTATACATTGCGACCTACAGAGAGTTAAACTTTTATAGTAATTTAGACACTTCCCTCATTATGTCTATAAATACACACCAATTGTATGATTGCGTCTTTATAAAGTTTTTACGGAAACATCTAATAAATTTTTAACTAGACCTGTAAACGAAAGGAAAAAACTTATGCTCTAAGACAGATTGACAATATTATTTTTATATTTCAGCCGATTTTTCTGAATCGCACCTTAACCTACATGAAGAATCGTATGTCCCGATCCAACAAGTCGAGAAAGAATTTCCGTATCGACTCCATTTTAGAAAGAGTGCAGCGATCACAAGGCAACAGTAGCAGCCAGCTTCTAGCTGGGTATATGACACTCACCTTTCTGGGTTTCTATGACAAAAAAGGTATCTAATACATATATACCTGTACATGTTATTTTATTCATGGTTGAAGTCTTTTCATTTATCCTATTTCATGTAAAATGTATGTACAAGTGTTTTCTGCTGTATTAAGTAGGTACCAGTAAAAAGCATACTTTATTAAAAATTGTCAAGTGTTGTGTAAACATGTGATGGAGATAGTACTTTAAAAAGATTATCTACCTATCTATATTATTCATACGCTACATGAAACTTTGTGGACAATAAGGCTTTTTTGTTTTAAGATTTAAGATTATATACCAAAATGTCCGTCTAAGTGTGTAGATTTGCAAACTGACCTTACATTTTTGAAAAAGTCCCTTGGGCTCTGCCCCAGTGGCTTTTAAGTACCCATGTTATCCTTATGAAGAACATATTTGTTTACATTATGATCAGCTGGATAATTTAATTGCTGTTAATATTGTAACTAGTGTACCTGTTGCTCGAATTCGAGCAATTGCGAAGCATTACAGGCGTTATTTTCAAAAGAATAACAGTCATAACTTCCGATGACTTTATAAGAGTTGACTCAAAGATTATGGAAATACTCACGATGTACACAACAGTTAGATATAATCAAAAGAGTTGATGTTTGTAAATATCTTATCTTTTTTCAAAAGCTGATCTTGTTTTTTAGTGTTTTCTACAAATGATTCCTACTCATAGCCGCATCAGGTTGTCTATAATAACGATTATAAATGAAGAAAAGAAAAAAAAACATTATTTCTATTTCTTCTACTTGGTTGTGTTCTATGACTTTCCTATGTTTCCATTGTTTGCAAATCGGCTCTTTCAATGATTGCTCAAGAAATGTAGCACAGTGTTAATTCAGTTTTATTTGTAGTATATCAAATTGTCTAGGCTTTCTCACTTTTTCCATTGTAATAATTACACCCACCCAAGTATCGTCTACAGATGCAATACGCCAAAGAATATCGTCTACGTGCAACACCCCTACGTACAATCTCTAAGAAGTGGTAAAAAGAGCAGACACCAACCCATAGAACCTCTTTAATCCGAACCCCCGTAATCCGAACGTCCACTAATCCGAACGCCTCATTGAACTGTACTCCATACACAGTACAGTAGTTCTTTATTGTATACGTACACACAGTAAATTAATTGTTTCTATTATAATGTAGAGTACTGTTTATTCACTGTGTTTACTACTCATTAAATAGAAACTGTATTTTACTTTATAAAGCATTTTTTTACTTTTCCTGTAACAATTAAGAGCCAATTTAGCCATGTTTTATCTATTGTTATGTAAAAACAACAATATGTTCTGTAATACGAACTATTCAATAATCCGAACTACCTCCGGTCCCAATTAGTTCGGATTAAAGAGGTTCTACTGTATGTTAACTCCATAAGAAATAATTTTAACAGTTACTGTGATATTAGGATTTTCCACTGATTTGGTTATAGAACGTTACATTGCAAAACATGACATGATGCAGAAGAAAATCGATTTTAAAATCAGAAAAAGTCATTGCAAATACTTCATTTTGACAAATTCAGTAAATCACAATTTAAATATTAACAGCTGTTCATTAAAAAGTAGTGTAAAATTACGCATATGGTCGTAATGTAAACAAATCTGAAGAGGGAACTTTAAATGCCTCTGGGGCAGAGCCCCAAGGGAATTTACCTCGTTTCTCTTTTGATGGCTCATCTACAGACCAAGACCTTTCTTTAGACAAAAACCACCTTTCGGGACAAAAACCCGTTTTTCTCCCATAAGAATAACATGGGATGGGCATTTATAGGCCACTGGGGCAGAGCCCCAAGGGAATTTACCGCGTTTCTCTTTTGATGGCTCATCTACAGACCAAGCCCTTTCTTTAGACACATCTACCGAGTTTCTAAACCCAGCCGTTCACTCACAATAGCTATGACAAAGAAAAACATTTTCAAATTACAGTAATAGGCCTATATAGATTGCAATTTAAGGAAACATGTGCTACAAAGAATATTTAACCCTCTATCTGGTGCTGGTCGATTTTCGACGACTAAAACGTGAGTTCTCAGTGGCGCTGGTCTATTATAGACCAAGAGGACATGGGTCGGGTTTTTCTATTATTAAAATATGAAAGCCGTTTTAAAACACAATAAATCTTATACCATTAGAAAAATGAGATTCTGAGGATTCATTTTCATGCATAAAACATTATTAAGTGAGTATTATGTAACGAGAAACATAGTTTGAAAAACTAGAGAGTTCAAAACAGATTTTGGCGGTGTAAAGATTTGGTCACCTGACTACAAAAACAGCTGTTTTTGGTGATTGTCAATTAAATTGTATACAATATTAGTACATATTCTGAAACTAAAATAAATTCCCTACAATTCCCTCTGAATCTATAAGGTTGATTGTAAAAATTTTATTTGTTTTTAAAAATGTTATAAAAACTATGTTTTTGTAAAAAAATCTTCAAAATTTTACATTCCAACGTAAATTTCTCTGAAATTTTAGAATTCAACTAAATATAACTACATATTTTCAAAAAGATCTTTTATTACCTATTGTACAGTATCATTTTATTTTTTGTTGATGAATTCTATTATTTCCTACGTGACCCAAAGAAATTTGGTAGTTTTTCAAAAAAGAAAATATGTATGTCGAATTTATTTTTTTATAATTGTATTTTTTTGAGTATTTAAAAAACATTGGTATTTCTACGTAGGGAACCATATTTCACACAACCTTTACATTTAGATAAAATGTGTAAAAAAATTATTTTGTAGTTTTCTTGTGGGTTGCTTTTGAAATTTCTAATTTGCATAATCCAAAAATTTGCAAACCTTTTGCTACTACGCCTAAACGCATTGCTAAGAAAAAAATATTTTTATATTATTATATTCTAAATTTATCACTGAAACAGAAAATATATATATGTGTGTACTTATATTCACAAATAAATGTTCTGTGGCAAAATATATGATACCACTACAAAAGCGCCAAAATATACCCGCCACTGGTGAATAAAATGACCGCCAGATCTAGGGTTAACATATTTCTAGATTAAATAGTTCCAAGATATGTGTAAATCTATGATAACAGAACAAAAATTACTCTATAACCACTTTTTTGTACATTGTATTTTTCCAGGGCAAAGCCGGGTTTTGCTGCTAGTTTGGGTTAAGGTTTAACTAGACCTAACTTTTCCAATGAAAAATGTGTATGCATTTTTTATTTTACAATGTCTACAATTATTTTCATGCTAACTTAAGTTTTAAATTTCAGGTGAAAGTCAACCAGACCCTGTTCAAGTGGAAACTTTGCTTTTGAAGATCTGCCACAAAAAAAGAAAAGACGTATCATGTCCAGTTCAAACGGTAAATTTTACTTAGTTTTGTTTTTTTTTAATTTAAGACGTTTGCCGCAGTTGCGTGGTGGCTGGCCGCGGCCTAGTACAGGAACATTCATAGCATGCACTGTGTTCCAGTCATTGTGGACATGGTTTTACAAGAACCAACAACCAACAGATAGCAGCACTAAACTAAAGTGCTAACAGGCCCTTAGTAATGCCAAATGGAGGGAAAATAGCAGGGGAAAAGTACCCGGATTTATCTGTAACCCAAATTCCAATTCTATTAATTAAAAGGGGTAAGCCCTTGGAAAACATTGCGCTAGCTGAAAACACAACTTCACAAGTGGCTGATAGACAGACCTGCCTTGAAGGAATTCCTTGAATCCGATCTGAACCATTAACTTGCAATAAATTTTTCATGATATTGTTAAGCAAAAAAAAAAAAAAAAAAACTCTTGTAGCCTACTAGTTTTAAGTTAGGCCTATATTATTGTATTTTTATTGACGCCATTGTATTATTCTTAATGAAACTACAAAATAAAGAATGATTTGATTGATTGAAACGCAAAATCAATGGTGGGATTCCGACACAATATTGTTTGGTCCTCCACCTGCGAGAGGTGGAGGACCAAACAATAACAAGACAAGAGCTGGCTAGAGACAAAATATATATAACCAACATTCTCTATTAATATTACAAGGCTATACCCTAGCTAAAAGAATAACCAAACCTTAATTTGTTTCAATCCTTGTCATTTAACCCTTTGAGTGCCAACGTCCGGGGAACCGGACGTTTTTAGAACGAGCCAAAAGTGCCAACGTCCGGGTGACCGGACGTTTTCAGAACGAGCCAAAAGTGCCAACGTCCGGTTAGCCGGACGTTTGAAAAACGCGATATTAAAACGCGAAAAAGACGATTATATGCACATATTTTATATTCTTTTGAAAGAGAAAGACTTCCTCTTTGTAAATAATGTGTTGAATCGGCGATAATTGTAATCATTCACTTGTTATAGTATTACGTTTTCATATGTTGTAACACAGAGATCAAGATGGCTGTCACAGCTGGCGCGTAATTGTTGACATCGTATTTCACTGTCTGTAAACAAGTGTTTGGTTACGTGCGGTGTTTTTACGAGATGTTTTGTTATTGATTATTAGTAATGGATCGATCTAGATCTCCACTAAGTGATAATGCAATTGCAAGAACTCTAGATGACGACTTTTTAGATGATAGTTTTGTGAGTGAGGTTTCTGAAATTGAAAGTAGTTCTGGTGCCGAATCTGACAGTGACTCAATTTCTGATCTTGTGGATGATACCGATAGTGACCCCGATTACGACCCCTATGAAGGTAACAATCAACGTAGGATAGATAGGATATTACAGTCCTTTGGTAATAATAATTATTCAACAGATGAGGAGGAGGATAGAGTGGACAATCCTAGGCCTATGCCAGCACCAAACCCTGCACCAAGACGTCGGGGTAGACCTAGGTTAGATGCACCTAACCAAGAACAAAATCTTGAAAATAATGAGGATAGTGAGGATGGAACTGGTTGGACAGAAGTAAATGAAGAAAATGACCCTGGCGGCAATAATCCGTTTACTTTTCATGAATTGTCTGGCGTGAAACACTGCCCCCCTAGGAATTCATCTCCAATAGATTATTTCAAACTATTTTTTACTGTTGCTTTGTTTGATATGCTAGTAAAATATACAAACAAATTTGCTAATAATTTTATTACTGCAAATGCCCACCAACTCAAAGAACATAGCAGGGCCAAGTCCTGGAGACCGGTAACTCGAATCGAGATGCAGGCTTTTGTAGCAGTGCTACTAAATATGGGCCTAAATGTAAAACCTACAATATTTTGCTATTGGTCAAGGACTAGCAGTCAGTTTATGCCTTGGTTTCCAAGAATGTTCAATAGGAACAGATTTCAAGCAATCCTTCAGTTTTTCCACTTGGTTGACACAACAGAACTGCCTCGTCCGCGCGAACCTGGGTATAACCCGTGCGCTAGATTTCAACCAATAGTTGACCACATGAATAGGGTATCTAGGTTTCACTTTACTCCTAGTGAGAACCTTTCAGTTGATGAGAGCATGGTAAGCACCAAGGCCCACTCCCAGTTGTTACAGTATTTGCCCAAAAAGAGACATCGGTGGGGCGTTAAATTATGGTGCATTTGTGATTCTGTCACACACTACTGTATGTCCTTCTTTGTGTATCGTGGAGCTAAAGGACCTGACAAAAGGGAAATAACACAGAAGGGCCTTGGTTTCTATGTTGTTGAGAAACTACTGATGATGACAAACTTACTTGGCAAGGGGTACCACGTGTTTGTGGATAATTTTTTTACCACAATAAAACTAGCAAAGTTTTTGCTTACTCAGGCAACGAACCTCACAGGTACATTGCGAAAGAAAAGAAAAGGAATACCAGAAGTAATGAAAGAGAAATTTGAAGTAGGGCAGAAAAAGTATTTGAGGAAAGACAACCTCTTAATGGTAGGATATAGGCAAAAAAAATCACAGAAAAACCAAGTCCTATTACTAACAACCAATGGCAAAGCAGAGAGTGAGCGAAGGGCAAGGGTAAGGGGGACGTCAGTTCATGTCACAAATAAGCCTAAGGTAATTAGAAACTATAATGACTTCATGGGGGGAGTAGATGGCTGTGACCAAATGCTTTACCAATACTTAGATGACAGAAAACCTTTAAAATTTTGGAAGAAGGTCACGTTTAATATTTTTAGCCGTATGCTCCTCAACTCCTACCTGCTGTACAAACTTAACACTGATAAACCAATGAACAGGCTGGCCTACAGTATATTTATTGTAGAGGAACTGGCCAAAGAATGGTTAGTTATCCAAGTAATGAGACCCAACATAACTGACATAACTAACATAACTCCGACCAGAATCTCCCGTGGTGGTGGCGACGCAGACAGCCCATTAGTCGAAAAAATTCCAGAAAACCGGGAAAAAAACTGCTGTGTTTGCAGCAAAGCAAGTACAAGAGAAGGTGGAAGGAGAAAGAAATCCACATTTATGTGCAAAAGGTGCAAAAAAGGATTGCACCATAAGTGTGTCACTCAACATCATTGCTAAAATATGTTCGCCAACAGTTTCGCCTTATTGTAAATATTTTTTGTATGTTATTATTTTACTCAAAATGACTTTTTATTATTTTATCATTCAGATTTGGCACTAAAATAATTTATTGTATATAAGTTTAGGCCAAATTATTTTTAGAATAGGACTATGAGGCCATGATGACTTTAGTGTGTGATATCTGTGCTGCCGAGGAAAAATGTATGATATTACTAAAAACGTTGTTACCTCATTATTTGACTTTATTTTCTCATGAAACTTGGAATGTTTGTTGGCAGTTAAATATAAAACAGAGTGGTATGAGTTTTATTGAGTGAAACCTTTTTTTCTCACATGATACACAGCATTGAATATGGAAGTTTTTTGAAAAAACTTTTCAAGGTATGTATTTTTCATCATTTTCACACTGCCTGCTGCATGAAATATACTTATAAATTGTGTTATATTGTAGAGTAGTTATTTCTCTGTAAATAAAAAAAAATTAATAAAATTGGTTGATAAATAAAAAAGTTATAGCGTTTATACTGAAGTATTGCTAAAAGCCACAAAAAGGGCCCGGCATTTTTGGGTAGGCCTAGTTATAACTCACATGGCACTTTAGTGTAGTACCTGACATAAAGTCTCCGGCACTCAAAGGGTTAAAAACATAAAATAGTTGATTTAAAATTTAAAGTGTTCGTTTTTTAATTAGGCCTAATGTTACCATTGAGCTTAAAAAAGGTTTAAGTGACAAAATTCAAATTCAAGAAAAGTTAGGTAAGGTAGCCACCTTGAAATAGATCTCTAAAATAGTTAAATAGCCTATACATTGAAATAAATAGATAGCCTACATAAATAACATACTACATTAACTAACACATAAATTACAAATATCACAGATTATTATTGCTTGAAATGTGGTGAAATTATAGTGTGCTTTTCGTTATGGTAAACAATTTCTTCTGTGCTTGGCTCCTTCTGAGTGCTCCGGGGAAGCAATTGGAGTGTGGCTGGTTCTAGGGGTAGGTCTAGCCTGTTCTGTGAATACAATTAATTGTATTCCCCCTCAGAATTTACGTCACATTTCTGGCTGCCCGAACAGAGAAACATATTTTTGGCACTCCCTAGAAATTACAGCACACAGCATTTCGAGGCAAAAATATGTGGGAGTTTTAATTAATAACTAAAGTAGGATAACGCTTAGTAGTTGGAAATCACAATTCACTTCGATGAACTAGCTTATTTTGGCCTCTCTAACAGTTGTATGTTCCTTGGTACGAATCAAACTTGTTTTTGCTTCTGTTTCATCATTTGTGTAATGTAAACTAAACTCCCAGAAGCATTTATTTTACTACACCTTTTCCCTTGAAGTAACCAATTACTTAAATCACTTATTTGATGATTCTATTGCAGAAATCGTTGGGGACTTGCTACGTAGCGTATAACCCATCAGAAGACAATCCTCCACCCAAGGTGCCAGCCTTGTCTATTCCTACAGAGTGCTTCAGCCTCACTGAGGGCAATCAGGCCAAGTCTTACCATCTCCTGCTGCGAGTCGGTAATGCTGCTGCTGGGAACATGACCAATGGCGACATTGATTCTGGTAAACCTTAAACTGAGTCTTGACTTCTGCGTTTATTAAAGAAATTATATATTAACCTCTTTCACTAATTGCTGACACATTTCAATAATAATACTATTTGTAGTAAACAATTTCTTAATGGTAGACCTACACATGAACTTGAATGCGTTTTAATAGGACATAAAAGTTTCATTTGGTCAAGAATTTGATTACGTCCAAAGCAAGAAATGGTCCAAGATTCTTTCTATAAATGGTTTAGGTGGTAACAGCTACAAACAGAACAGTGACTCAAGATAGTATTTCCTATTGGACAAAGTGATGCTTGGACTTAAACATAGACATATCTGCATATTCAACACATCTCTTTTTGGTTTTTTCCAATCAATCTGATGTTTCCAGAACCTCCTCACAAGAGACGTAAGTCTCTGAAGGCTGAGGGAGAGGAAGACAACCAGTGGCACCAGTACGGCACCGACCTTATCATCTATGACAAGCAGAACAGGTGTTTGCTGTCAGATGGGCATTACGAACTGCTGTTGGAACCTATGACTCCGGGCAGTAAAACATCCATTGCCCTCTCATCCTGGGAGTACATCGGCCACATCAAAGAGGTAAATACACATGCCATACCTACTGGAAAGTCCTAGGCGAGCCAGGCGATTAGAACCAATATTGGAAGGTCTTGGAGGAAAAGTCACATCTATCACATTTTTTTAATATATTGTATAGATTTTTTAAACATTGTTCCCATTAATACTAGTATTAAATGTTTATGTTGCTGTTATTTTTATTTAAAGTTACCATAAAGGGTTGTTTTGCTGTTTACGGAAAAGTCACTTACACTCAACTTATTAGCAATAGTTTTATCTTACAAACCCTTAACAACCCCTAAAACGTATCAATATACAACTAAAACAAGCACAAACATCTAACATCTAATCAAAACATGCAATTGCAAACGTACCTGATTTTGTTCAGTCTCACCGTATGGTTACAAAATGCTAATCTAACCCCACATGATTCTAAATCTTAGCAATATCCATCTGTGTTTCTTTACAGGAACAGAAATCCATGCTATTTTCATACATTTACTTGTGGATGATTCAACATGGAGCATTTCATTGAGTAATTTATGAATAGGCTAAATACGCCCCTATCAAAATATACCTTGTTTTGAATCTGAACATGCTTCTTTTCTCAATTGCGCTTTATGAATCCTGATGTTTATTTTTTTTATTAATACATCTTGATGCTAAACATTAAAATCTCACTCTTAGCCAATAGCTTGGAAGTGTAAAACAGCCTACTATTGTTGTAGGAGCAAATAGAGAACCAATTGTCCACATCATTTGAACAGTTCAGCACAGGTCCCACTATCAAGTTTTTTCTGAGATGGTCGAGAGAGCCTGTGACGACTCTCGTAGACCGACCGAAGCCAATCAGTGTGAAGCAGGTGGAGGCGGAGGCAGCAGACAACAAAGAAGCTAGCAAGGAGGTTGACAGGCCAGGTGGGCATTACAGCATCCATCTTCTACTTTGTTTAAAAATGTGTTTGTTCAATTTAAGTAGGCCATTCAGTGACATTTCAGGTCACTAGAAGTAAGTTTTGATGGTCCACCGCAATATTGTGGTCTTCAAGGTAAAACTGGGGAAAATTACTGGTAACTTGAGCAGATCCTTTGGCTACAACCTCCATACTGCTCTGATGAATACCATATAGAATGTCAGCTCAAGTTACCGATACGGTTTTTGTTTTTACCCAAAGATGATTGTATTTTATTGTGTTCTTAATCAAATCAAATCAAATCATTTATTTGTCTTTTGGATTTTTACAAATCATTGACAAAGTCAACACATTAGCCTTAATTGTAAACTCTAAACTGAACTCTTAACTGACCCAGCAAGCACATACACAGGTAAATTGAAAAGTCTAATTCAACATCTTAATCATTTCACTGCATAATCCTTTTTTTTTTAGTGTGCTGAATACTAATTAAGATAGTATTTTAAGATCAGTGGTTTTTCGTGTAAAAATTAAAATTGTTAACATTTCTTTATTAATCCTCAGACAAGAAACTGCAGATAGTGTACCAGTTCCTGTACAACAACAACAGCAGACAACAGACGGAGGCGTGTGAGGATCTTCACTGTCCGTGGTGTTCACTGGACTGTGACTCTCTCTATTGTCTACTCAAACATCTCAAGCTCTGTCACTCTAGGTTCACCTTCACATATGTTGTAAGTTATCTCTTAAACAGTTATTTCTTGAACTCCTCCACATTTTCGTATCTGTAAGTTGAAATTGACAATTAATTATTGTAATTTGTTCAGTGTAATAGATTGTTTTATAATGAGAGAGTTCCTATACAAACCAATGTTGTTGCAGCCTATCCCTGGAGGTGCCCGGATAGACGTGGCTATCAATGAGTATTACGATGGCTCCTACTCAGGCTGTCCACAAGACCTGATCTCACAGCCGCCAGGTGGCGCCTTCTCTCGCAACGGACCCGTCCGCCGCACCTGTGTGTCCAACATCCTCGTGTGTTACCCCAAGCGACCTCACCCATCACTCTCGGAGTTCCTGGAACTTGACGAGAATGAGTTTGACGGACAGAGGCCTTACATTACTGGACACAACAGGTAATTTTAATAGAGTTAGAGCCTGGGTGAGAAAGAGATCCGCCAGCATCCGGTAGAGAAAAACATACCCCCGCCATAGCAAACCTACCGACTAAGCGAATTTCAATTAAATCTATAACATTAGGTTTAATAAGTACCTAGGTTTGCTGCTACAAAGAAACTAATAAAGTGTATATTGAGCTTTTAAAAAGGTCTACAGAAAAATTGGAAAATTTTGTGTTTTGAGGGTCAAAAATGTGAAACCCCATTTTTTACCCTACATATACTGTATACCTACAAATTTGTACAAATAGTGTTTTTGGCCTCTGGGGACTTCAAAAAATGAAAAAAATGAACTGACAAAATGAAAAAGTAAATCGGTCCTGGGGGGTAGGTCTTACCGTGCCACCTACGGTAATAGCTAAAGGGAAATTCGCTAAAAAACTGACTTATGTTTTATTTTAGAGAAATTTATATTAAAAATAATATGTTTAATGTCAGTATTATTTTTTTTCACACAGGTTATATCATCACACAACAACATGTCTACCAATATATCCCAAAGAAATGGATGTTGACAGTGAAGATGAAAATGATCCTAAATGGCTGCAAACCAAAACTATGATGATGATAGATGAATTCACAGATGTGAACGAAGGAGAGAAAGAACTCATGAAGATGTGGAACCTTCATGTAATGAGGCATGGGTAAGAGGATTTATATGTTAACCAATAGTAACTGGTGTAAGTCCCACAAGCCATGTGATCATTATGAATATACAGGGCTATTCAAAAATATGGACCCAGTTTCGGGACTTTGTATCTAAAAAAGTATAAATCGGAAACAAAGGTATATTATGGTCAAATATGATAAAAAAACTTTGAAATTTCCTCTTTTTATTGGTGTACTTTAATACTTTTTTAATACTTTAATACTTTTCTTTGAAATGGCGACCATACAAAGTAGGTATTTTAAGCCAAGTATGAATGGAGATGAGTGTAGGATGAGTGAATTTCGATCCTTGTAGTCTTGTTAGTGACTAAGGCTGACATATTTCTTAGACACAGCTGTTAATTAATAGCCAATACAGCTAATGGCGACTAAGGGACCTACAGTTTATAGTGGAATCCGAACCACTTTTTTCCTTAGTATATACGAATTGGTCTAATTATCAGGATAGTACTGCGGATAATCGTAGTACTCACCCGTGCGGACGTTAATCCACACCAGGGAGTATCGCATCCACAGTGCATGCCTATAAATATCCACAATTCGCGACCTCCTAGTAGCTGGATTACAGGACAACGCCAGTAATTGTAAAGTTTATGTTTGTCCGATTTATACTTTTTGAGATACAAAGTCATGAAGTTGGGTCAATATTTTTGAATAGCCCAGTATAATATATTTTGTTGAATTGTAGAAAAAGGATGATAGCAGCTAGCTTACCTTGAAAGTGTAGGTAGGCCATAGAAAATGTATAAAATGCACTGTGCACACATGTCTACATGTTCTATGGCCTACCTACAATTTCAAGGTAAGCTAGCTGCTATCATCCTTTTTCTACCATTCAAAATTCTGGCCTAGAGCCTTTCCTTGAGCAAAACTTACCTGTATAATATATAACGGAACTATTACAACAATTTATGTCAGCGAAGTTAAAAAAATAATTGAAACCTGTCCTTGACAGTGTTCCGTCTAAACTTTGTAACCAATAAATAGGCCTCCTCCCCACTAACATTATGTAATCTTTATTTTATTCTTCCATTTAACAACACATAGGGTAATCTTAATTTTTGTCAACAAAAACCTCTGTCAAACATTCAAGTGGTTGGTGTTGTGTTTGTACAATCAGTTACGTGGGAGACTGCCAGATCCCGTTGGCGTGCAACATGTACCTACAGGCCAAGGGGAGGGAGCTGTTGAAGAAGAACCTGTATCGCAACTTTGTGCTACACATGTGCAACCTCTTCGACTTTGGTCTCGTCAGTCCTGTGACAGTCTACACGACTATCCAGAAACTGCAGGAGCTGGTGGAAGAGGATGGCGATGAGAGCAAGGTTAGTCTAAACAATTCACTTTCAAATAAAACGCTGAATCTAAGGCTGGATCTGGATCAAAGGAAGGTCTACTGCATAGATGGTTTGTGTTGCTTCAAAGAGATTTTGCCAAAGGTTTTCATAAGAAAATTGGATTGAAAACGGTATTTACACTTAACCGACATAGGTTTCTTGTCCTTTTTATCCAAACACTCAACTGTATCATCTGTCACAGGTGTTGCAACAGTCTTGCCAGGCGCAACGGCAGCACTGGGTGACGGAGGGAGCTATCAGAGCGCAGGAGACACGGAGAATCAACAGTCCGGCCGCACAGAACCCCACAGAGCGGCGCAAACCGTCCTCCGTCCAGCCCAAGGCAGAGAAGCGGCCTGTGACTCAGGATGTGAGCAAGAAACGAACAAGTGAAGGCCCTGCCTCCCCCTCCCCCGCCCCTCCTGCCAAGAAGAAGCTCAACATCGGCTTAGGTCAGTGGGTTATACTGATTCCTTTAGTAGTTGAACAATGTCATTTAAAGTCATTGATGTTTTGAGAGTACCAAACTTTTTAGTTCAGCCTTTGACTATTACAGTAGAAACCCTCAGTTCCGACCTCGGGATATCCAACCTAATGTCCGACCATCTACTTGTTTTCTGGGGCGATAATGCGAAGCATGATTGGCGACAATCACCTCTGTCGCCAATAACGGTTCTCTCGATATGGCGGGAGACCATTACCGAAGTCGCGGGGACTGCAAGTTACGCTCTTGGTGCTGTTGCTGTCTTGGACGATAACCGAGGTCGGGGAGACTGCAAGTTAAACTCATGGGTGCTGTCGGGAGGGACGATTACCGAAGCTCACGCCTGCGGACAATTACCAAAGTTGCGGAGACTGCAAGCTATGCTCGCAAGTGCTGTCGTCGTCACGGAGACTGCAGGTTATGCTACTCCCGATATCCGACCTCTTGGCCGTTCCGACCATGGCCCGGTCCCGTTTTGGTTGGATACGAGGGGTTCCACCGTAACAGAGCTATATTTTCCACCCGTAACTTAAAGTTGTCCCCAGTTTTCTTATCACATAGATGTTGAAATGAGCTACTGACAGTGTGTAAAAATGTAAACTAGGCCTACTAATTTTTGTAGAAGATGCCAACTCTTTTTGTTAAACTTAAACTATCTCAGCAACTGTAGCATACTCTATGAGTGTGGCTCATCTAAAATTTATTTATATAAAAAGTAGGCTACAGCTGGTCCATTTAGGCTGGATGTCTACTTTAGTATCCAAAAGTCAGTGGATCAAACTTCATATTAGGAGGTAAAAAGATTGTACCAAGGCCACACTAAATAAATAGGCCGTAATTCTCCTCTGGCATGACGTCATTGTATGCGACAGCAATTACGTAATTTTTGCCGTTTGCGATCAGCCACTTGTCTTAATCTTTTCTTGGGAAACAAAAATATAACTAAAAAAATAACATTACGTCAAACTTATCTAACTGATGTTAGCTTACATAATGGATGAAGCTTTTCTATTTATACAAGTATATCTTATTTTCAAGAATGTCAGTTAAGTAATTGTTCTCATCGATTTTAAATTACTGTATTACTAGCCTATTTTTTCTCCTGTTATTATCTCAATACACACTGTTATATACAATGTTAATTAGATTTTGGACTTTTAAATGTATTTGATAGTATAAACCATCCTCAACTTAAACTCTTGTTCCATTCAATGACTTGAAATTTTAAAAATTATACCTGCTTTACAGTAAAACCTAATGTGCCTGTGGAAAGCGGGAAAGAGAAAAAGAAACCAGAGAAGAATCCTGGCTTAGAAAAACCAGGCGAGAAAGATAAGGACAAGAACGATAGTGCTAAGAGGAAAATTGCCTCGAACGGTGTTCCTGTAAGTATACCTAGACCACAACCTATGCCTGCAAACAAAGATAAGGAGTCAGCTGCCATCAAATTGAGAAGGAAGTCATCCAATCCAGTGGAATCAAGCAACCCAGTTGTGTTGTTGAGGCGGAAATCATTTGCTGGCGCAACCGACGCTCTCAGGAAAAAGACTTTGGAAAACGGCACGTCCAGTACAGTAGTAAATGCGACCAAGGGTGGTGGCAGCTAGTCAATGATTTTATATGCTTAGTTCACAGCTCTGCTCTCAGTACAATCTCAGTGTCTTGAATTCATATACCATAACTTCATCTCAGGATTCACTTAGCTTAGATAGGAAAAGGTATGCGGTATTTACTAAATAGGCCTACTTAAAACATATTTTTTAAGTATTGTGAGTATTTCAGGATACAAGGCAAGTAAATATGTTTCGTTTTTTTGTGATGGTAGCAGGTTTACCTTAATGGGAAAGTGTCCACTCTTGCTCAGTGGAAATTATTTCTTGTGACAGAGAGAACTCTCCCATTTTAGCATGTTATCCTCACAAAAATCCTTAAAACACAGTCCATTGTGCTGTTTAAAATTTTCAACTTTAAAATATTTGTACTACAGTATACAAGATATTAAAGGACTAAATCTTTTTGAAAATCATAAAAACCCACCGCTATTTTTAGTGCAACCGCTGTGTAAAAACACCGGTTTTACTCATAATTTCATTCATGATAAATTTTTATAATCAATATTTATAATAATAATAGGCCTATGGTCTAAAATTTTACATAAGTAGAAGACCAGTGCATATTTTTTAGCTGTCTAATTTTCTTTGAAAACTCCTCCTTGTTTGTAAAGTCCCAAACATTTATTGCTACAATTTTAAAAGGTGTAATTTTTTAGAAAGAAAAAAACTTGTTTGTGAACCACTCCTAAAAGTTTGCCATGTCCGAGAATAGATCAGCATTTAAGTAGGTTGAATTCTGTTAACGTGGTTAAAGCTAGGTCGAGTAGGAGTAGGATATTTCCCTTAGTTCCCTAAGTTAGGGGGGGGGGAGGAGGTTTGAGGCTAAGTCTCCGTCAATAGGAATTGACTTTAAATTTGTGTTAAGGACCATTCTAAAAACCCTCGACGACAAACTTTTACATAGTGCCCCTAAGTATTTAGTTGGTGCTCTATAAACACCTAAGTACTAAATTTTCTTCAAGCTCAAAGTCCCTGTACTTTACCTCTGGAATAGTCTTAACAGTGTATTTTACACTGATCTTTTGATCCATAAATGAGCTGCATAATTGAGCATATTCTTGGAACAGAAACAAATTGTTCTATTGTTTAAATCGTTACACTTGTTTTTATGTGTTACTCGAAACTTACTCTAGTTCTTTTTTTTTATTAATTACTAGACTTAGTTACTATAAGATGATTTATTTGACTGTATTGACTAATCTGGGGTAATGTACCATTTATTGGTTTAAGATTTGTTTCAGCTTTTGTGTAATAAGACCAATGACCATGTCTTCATTTCTTTTGTAGTGGGCTGTGCATATTTCATAAATTTGTGTTTGTATGACCCCGTTTATAGTTACCCAAAAATTTAATTGCCAAAGTGAAAAATGTTTTGTCTGGTAATTTATTTTTTTTTTTTTTTTATTATCTCCTACAATGTATGTTTAGAGTTTCTATTTTGTATCTTAGATTTAATTATTCTTTTTAGAACCAAGCTGTATTTTTTGTTCACTTGTTTCATTGATTCTAAGTAAGCAAATTATTACGTGTTCAGTTTTGGTAGTAGGTGTTTAGTACATGAGTTATCGGTTTTATACATTGCAATCATTTCAGCATAGCTTATCTTTTTACAGTTTATTTATTTTCAAGCGTTTTTATAATTAATAAACTAGTGTAGCTAATATAAAAAAATTATTAAAACAAAAAAAAAGTTATACACTTTTGTTGTGTTAAGTGATTCTAAGAGACTGGACTATATCACTGCCATAATGAATAATATCCCTTCTTCGACCATTAATTTTATTTTTACTAATGTTGTTGACGATATTAAAATAATCTTTTAGGCTACTTGATCGAATGTGTCTAATGAATGTATGTAATTGTCTAAGAAACCGTATGGATGAATATGAAAAATATATAAGTGGGGTTTTTTATCAAATTACATTCAAACCCGTAAAGATAATTAGAACCTACTGAAAGATTTAGTGTCTTGTGTTTGTTTCAAAAACATCTAAGATAGTCTGTTTATTGATTACTATGTTCATTCATTAAATATTTATTCTTCATTTTCTATTGAGCTTATAGATAAGTACGAGACTACAAAATATTTTTTGAAATAATTTTGTCCCCTTGTATTGTTAACAATTAATTAGAGGATGTTAAAAATATGATCTGTAAACTTACAATGTTTTGAGTAGAACATGTGTTAAGGAGTGGATATAGCTAAATGTTATTGTGGCTAAAATGCATTTGCCTAATGTTGTTCACTATGTGTTAGGATGTGTGAAGTGCCTTTATCATAAATTACTGTTTTCCTAGCTATTGTTTGTTTGCTGATTGGGTCTCCCCCTTAGGCAATTATTGTGTAAATATGTCATTGTCGAAGATTTTATAGTTTTTACATTCAGATTTTGATTGCCATACCCTGTATGTATGTTGACTTTTATATACATGTTTTCAAAGTGTTTGGGCATTTAAAAAGTGTGATTTTTACGTTAAAAAAGCAATGATATTTAATTTTCTCTAATGTTAGTGAAATCTTCTAAAAAATTAAGGAATATTCGTGATCTCAAGCGACTTAATTTGAGTTAATCCAAAGTTAACTTCAGTTTTCTGTAGTTGTAAATAATTATGTGTTGCATTTGTTAAAATATCCTAAATGGTTTAAAGTGTTTTATTGTTTTTTAATATAACTGTTGGCTGATTTCGGCACATCTCTCTCAACTATTGTTAACAACTTGTACTAAGAACAACATTTCAGATTCATTAAGTCATTCTTGCTATATATTCTCAACTGTGAGTTGTAAAATGTCAGTTTACATTATTTGCTGTAGATTTATATTTTTGTAAGAGCAATAATCAAGTGTATTATCTTCTATTTGTCATGAAATAGTTCATAAACATACTCTTTTCCACCCAAGTATTTTTCTGTACAAACTTAATGCACATAAACTGGTGTATAGGCTACTGTAGTGGTGAGTGCTTATTGTAGTATCTTTACATATCTGTCGTTTGGATTTAATAGAAGTTCATTGTTGAGTTGTATATTATACATAAGAAGTAATATATTACAACTACTTGTAATAGTTCATTGTACATTTGACTATTTCAACTTTTAGCAAATAAAAAAATTGTAAAACCAGATTTGAATGTAATTTAGTTCCCACGAAGAACTCAGATTATATTATGCAGTAGATATAACAAAAAAATGTGAATCACATAAAAACAAGAACTCATATAAACTCCTGGAGTTAAATTTAAAAAATTAATTTTAATAAGTTATTAAATAACTTATATTTAACTCCGCATTAGATAACTTTTAAAGATCTATTTTTCAAACTGTGATCAGAGATCTTTGCTTTTTAAACTATTTAATTGAATGTTATTCATTATCATGATTGATTTGTAGCAAACGGATTGATGTTTGAATTAACAATTGTAACTTACGTCAATCAATCCAGTTGTGTATTGGAGGGACGTACGTTTCGACCATCTTCAGCCCCGCTGTTACACTAAGTTCCATCCTTAGTTGCATTGTTGGTGTGGCAACCGCGTCAAATATTTACAATTAAGAACATAAAAAACACGACATTGATGAGGACGAACACATATTAACAAAACTATCACCGTGCGCACGGCTGAACGGGCTCGGGACTGCGGCGGCACTGACTTATCTAAGTGCCCTGCTTTAGACTTTGGACCATGACGTCACTCACTCCTTCTTGCATTATCTGTCAGTCGAATAATGGTATCATATACAGGAAGTGCGTCTGAATGAATTCTTTCATTTAAAATATTTTTATTTAGCTTGAAACCCTTGTATATGGCCATTTCTTCTAGTCTGTCAAGCCGCTGTCCTTTCTTTTCCCTCGCTAAGATTTCCAAATTACTGCCTATATTTGTATAAGTGTGCCCCTGTTCATTTAAGTGCTCCGCATATTTTTATTTAATATTTGTTCCTGGTGTTCTACTAATATTCTCAAGCTCTTTAACATGTTCTTTAAATCTCAATTCAAAAGATCTGCCCGTTTGTCCTATATAAAATGCGTTGCAGTCGTTACAATTAAGTTGGTATACACCTGAACCTTTGTATTTATTTATATTGTTGGGTTTATTCGTACTGCTTAATATTTTCTGCAAATTGTTTTCTGATCTGAAAGATGGAGTGATATTTTGTTTTCTAAACGTTTTCTTGATAATGTGTTCAGTTTTCTTTGAATACCTGACAGATGCATACTTCTTGTTTGATTCTGAATGTGATACATTAGGTGATATGTATTTTGCCATACGTTTATTATACATTCTGTCAATAAGAGCTGGATCGTAACCATTTTGCTGGGCTATGTATTTTATGGTATTCAGTTCCTTCTGTTTGTAGTACTCATTGGTATGTTAATTAGTCTATGTAACATGGAATTGAAAGCTGAGAGTTTATGTGATAACGGGTGCTAAGAAGTTGCGTGGATTACTTGATCAGATTGTGTGGGCTTCCTGTATATTTTAAATTGGTGCTAATTGTCAATATTGGATATGGATAGATCTAAGTAGTTTATGTTACCATTAGATTCGGTTTCTGAAGTAAAGGATATATTGTTATGTATGGAATTCAAATATTTTTCAAAGATAGCTGTTTGCCTCTTGTTGCCTTTGTATAAACACAAAACATTGTCCACATACCTCCACCAATAAATTATTTTACTATAGTATTGATTCCCTGCAAGTATTTTATTATTTTCTAAATTATGAAGAAATATTTCGCTTAGAATTGCTGATAGTGGTAAGCCCATTGCCAATCCCTCAGATTGTTCATAGTAGTTGTTATTAAACGCAAAATAGTTTTGCTGGACGATAATACTGGTTGCGTTAATCACTTCCTTTATCTCATTATCACTTAGCTTCCCCCCTTCTGTTAATCTCTCCTTCAAAATAGTTAATGTTTCTTTTACTGGGATACTAGTGAACAAACTTTTAATATCGTACGAAATCATTGTGGTACCTTGTGGTATGTTGAAATCTTTGATTTTGTCAACTAGGTCAGATGTGTTTTTTAAACTCTTACTGTCCTGCAAAGTGATGGATTCTCTGATGATTTTGTCAATTTTCTTTGCTAAAAGATAAGATGGGGCTTCTTTGAAATTGATAAGAGGTCGAATTGGGGTTCCCTCTTTGTGTACTTTTGGGAGGCCAGTTATCTTGGGGGCTTTTGGGTTTGTCACCTTTAGAAACCTTTTTGTGGAGTCCTTAAAAAGCTCTTTACTTTCATTAATAAACTTATTTACTTCCCTAGTATATTTAGGTGTAGGGTCTTTGTTTCGCCGCAGTCCCGAGCCCGTTCAGCCGTGCGCACGGTGATAGTTTTGTTAATATGTGTTCGTCCTCGTCAATGTCGTGTTTTCGTGTTTTTTATGTTCTTAATTGTAAATATTTGACGCGGTTGCTACACCAACAATGCAACTAAGGATGGAACTTAGTGTAACAGCGGGGCTGAAGATGGCCTAAAGGTCGAAACGTACGTCCCTCCAATACACAACTGGATTGATTGACGTAAGTTACAATTGTTATTCATTATGTTAGCGATCTGTTTTTACAGAGATTTTGGGCTTTGTTGTGGTATTTAAAAACCCATTAAAACTTATCATTATCAAATTGTAATTGTTTTTTTCTTGTTTTTTTTTATTTTTTATTTTGACTTATAGACAGCCAGTGTTCCAAAGCTATTTACATAAAGTAGCACAAAAAATTTCCACGGGCAATGCAAAGTAATAACTCTAAATAAATTGAAGCAAATACCATCAGGGACAGCAGGTTAACAGATTAGAAGTCAAAAGCAGTTAATGATTAATATTTAATAATTTACATATATTTGGTACTTTACAGTTCTAGGAAACTAAACTGACTAGAATTTGTTAATACTATAATTTCTTTGGCAAATATTTTTGTCTTTCCCATGACTAGTGATAAAAGTTATACATAAATAACTTACTACAACTAGATAACAAAAATACATGAATATTTTATTTTAATAAATATTACTTAAAATAAGTATCTAAAAGCATTCACCATTTGGTAACAACAAACTAACAATAATTTTGAACTCATTTTGATCATAGTTGGTGAGAAAATTATGTCTAACTATGAGCGATCACCTGGTTATAACAAAACAAACTCGATGAAAAGTTTTAATTCAAGCTGCTTTGAAAATGTCAGTTTTTATGCAATTTCAAAAACAAACTTGATTTAGGATTTAGATACACTGGATCACTTATAAATGTTTGAAATAGTGTAAATATGCTGATACAGAGGTCGCAAAAAGGTTGGTGATTGTATTTTGAGTAAACAGGTAAGAACAAAAGTGTTACTGCAGATAGTAAAAAAATTAAATTTTCAGGAAAGTCATTGACTCACTGCCACAGGAAATATTGATAATCTAATTTGATCATCGAGGAAATGTTGACGTGTGTAGAAAGTGGGTATCAATGATAACAGCGCTCTGGAATAGGGACTTTCTGTAAACTCTCCTTTGCTATAAAAACCAGCTTCGCCTTAAGTTGGCATTTGATCTCAGTCAAACAAAAGTCACTGATATAAAAACCTCCATCTATTTACTTCTTTGTAAAAATAATAAGGAATATTGCTGATCAGAAGTTGCTTTAAACAACTAAATGAGCTTCGCTTAAACTCATAGAATCGTCTTATCAGATACAAATACCAACACTGAGTGAATTGCTTATAACACTGAGTGCCCAGATCATGATGATAACTTCCATATAACAAGGTGTTTGGTCCGGTCGTAGTGGAAGTACTGAGGAAAGTCCAATGGAAGCTGTTCCATTGACCAATTTGACATTGGCGGAGACATCCATTCTTGCTTGATTACCTTGAGGAAATGTTCATAACATGGTGCAACCACGTCTAAGTCTTCCAAGGTAAACACAAACCTAAACAAAAAAATAAATTAACAGCACATTCAGATACTATTTGTCCGTCCGTACTTTGATTTGAGATGGAAACCAAATTAGAAAACTGAGAGTCTCAATTTCCTTCCTCTAGAGGACAAGTGCTATCTTATCAGTTCCTGGCAAGCCACACAAACTGATAACGTAAATTATTTACTTGAGTCAATTTGTGAGATAGCCAAAAGTTTTGATTGTGTTGCTGACAAGAATCCATGTAACATAATATCTCTTGTATACAAGTGAAAACCCACAAAAAATATATACAATAAATATTTAAATTTAAACTCCAATTCAATAAAAATTATTAATTTGTGTGTTTACTGTTTAGCAATGAAAGCATTATTCTGTAGCAAAGCATGCATCCTTTGGCACAGTATAAAACACAAACTGTTTTACAAAGGAATATTAGTAAATCACCATCAATCAACACTATAAATACACCAGAACTTGCCAATCCAAACTAATAGGGACCCAGACCTTGTTTTGATTACCAAATTGTTCAGATACCAAATCGATTTACCAGAAATACAATAATATTTCTATTAAAATCGAATAACAAAATTATTTTTATTAGAAAAGCTACTACAGTAAATGGTCATCTACAGTATTTCTCTCGCATCATAGCAACACCCTGATTATCTTCTGTGATCATGGATCAGGGATTATCTACCATAATCAGGTTCTTCTTACTACATGACAGCCTTAACACAGAACCAACGGATGAATGCATGCTCAGGCTCAAGCTAATGGCAATTAGGTATTCTAAATGTCCCAGTTCAATGCAAAATTCAAGTTTATTTCAGAACACATGGCTGGTTTTAATGTAAATGCAGTAACATGTTTTCCCCCAACATGTGGTACCTATAAGTGGGACTGTCGTGTAATGCAGTCTTGGTCCTTTAAAAAGCTAAAAATATGTCTATATAAAACATGCATGATGATTTGATCAAAGTTCATTCTTTCTTGATAATTACAGCAAGTTTTTGAAAGGGTTTTACATTTTAGGGTTTGGGGTATCATTAGCTTGACAAGTATTTTTAGTATCGAGT